CCCCCCCCCCCCCCCCCCTCTCGGCTTGCGCACGACGCGCTGCTGTGTTCGTTCGGTCTCTATCCTTTGATGGTGGTCGATTGTGTTTTTGTCGCTCTCTCCTGCGCCTACAATTGTGTGTGCACTCCACGGTTTGGTCTGTTTTTTGCGCACCGCACCGCACTGCATCATAAAAAAAAAAAAAACGCAGCGTGAATTTTCCTGGTTTTTCTTTGTGTCGGTGTCGGCGGTTGTGTTGCATTGGTGCAGGAAGGCAGCTACATGTCCGTTTTTTGTTTGTGCTTGATGTGCAAATCGACCTGCTTGTTTATCGTGTCGCGCCCCTTACCGCAACGCTTGCATGCTCCGTCATGTATTCCCGCCCAACGCCCAATGCTCAACTCAATCCCCTCCCGCCCCCGGTCGTCTCTGTGGCGCACCGCTTGTGTGCGTGCTTGTTTTGTGTTGTGCCTAATTTTGTTGTTTTCGTCTCTCAGCAAGGCTACGGGGATGGACGCGCCTGAAACGGGGCGGCTGAGCCACATCTACCAGCTGTCGGGATTCGCCGACCCTGTGTACGCGGAGGCTTGCGTGACTGTCCACGACTACGACATCGTCCTCGAGGTGTGTGTGTGTGTGTGTGTGTGTGTGTGTTTGTTTTTTGCTATTGCTTCCTCCGGTCCGTCAGGTAAGGTCACGAAATATTTATTTTTCAGTTTGCATCGACCGCGCTAGCTGGCTGACAAATGAAAAGACGCTAGCCTGAGTGCGGTTGAAAACACGAAATGTTTCTGAAGGCCATGAATGTGGAACACCGTGTGCGTGTGTTGTGTCGTTCTTATTGGCGTCGACCGCGCTGACTGACTGACCGATGAAAAGGCATCAGTCTCAGTGTGGTTCAAAACGCAAAACCCTTCTAACGGCCACGATCTGGGACCCTGTGACTGAGCGTCATGGGGTAGTCTACGCTACTGTCCGGATAAAAGATGAATACCGTGGCAGTATCAGAAGAAAGCTGCATGTCTACCATAGCTGTTACTTCTTTGGACGCGCGTTCGTTTTGGGTTGTTTCGTGTGTGTATTATTTGGAGTAGACTATTAGCATCGACCGCGCCAACCAGCTGACCAATGGAAGTCACATCAGTGCCAGCGGGTATAACATATCTCGTATGTGTTTGTTTGCACGTATTTATTCCATTAGCAGCGACCGCGCTTCGAGGCCTGCCAATATGAAAAACCATCAGTCTCGCTTGCTTGCGGTGTGACACCCCCCCCCCCCCCCCCCCCCCCCCCCCCCC